AAAGAGACAAAGAAGGGCACTATATTATAGTAAAAGGGTTAATCAATCAAGAAGATATAACACTTATAAATATCTGTGAGCCTAACAAAGGAGCACCCAAATATGTGAAGGAAAGACTGTTAGATCAAGAAGGGGAGAAAGAGTGCAATACCCTAATTATTAGAGACCTCAACATCTCATTATCTCCTCTAAATAGATCATCTAGACAAAAAATAGGTAAAGAGATAAAGGATCTAAATGATACCATAAATGCAATGGACTTAACAGACATCTATAGAACTTTCCATCCAAACACCACGAGATACAATTTTTTCTCACCCCATATGGAACCTTTTTGAAGACTGACCACATCATAGGGCACAAAGCAAGCCTCTACAGATTCAAAGGCATAGAAACTATATCAAGCATCTTCTACGACCATAATGGAATTAAACTTGAGTTTAATTTCAAGAGAAATCCTCAAAATACATGGAAATGAAATAACAAACTCCTGAATGACTCCACAACTACTGAAGAAATAAAGACTGAAATAAAAAGATTCATGGAAGTCAATGACAATGAGGACACAAGTTTCCATAATCTTTGGGACACTGCCAAAGCAGTCAAAAGAGGGAAGTTCATAGCAATTAGTGCACATAAGAAGAGGATGAAAAAAAGGCAAATGAATCACCTAACATCATGCCTCAGAGAATTGGAAAAGCAACAGCAAAAAAATCCAAAATAACTCCAGGAGAAAGGAAATAATAAAGATACAAGCAGAAAAAAATAAAATAGAAAATAAAGAAACTATACAGAAAATAAATGGGAGTAAAAGCTGGTTCTTTGAAAAGATAAACAAAATTGATACACCACTAGCGAGACTAATTAAGAAAAAGAGAGAAAGAATCAGGTGAATCAAATCTGCAATGAAGCAGGCAAAATAGCAACAGACATAGTAGAAATACAAAACATTATTAGAGGATACGATGAACATCTATATGCCAAGAAACAAGACAATCTGGATGAGGTGAACAAATTCCAGGGCACATATAATCTACCAAAATTGAGCCAAGAGCATATAGAAAGTCTGAATAGGCCCATAACAAGCCAGAAGATTGAATCAGTAATAAATAACCTCCCAACAAAGAAAAGCCTTGACTGTGATGGCTTCACCTTTGAATTCTACAAAACTTTTAAAGAAGAGTTAACCTCCATTTTGCTCAAGTTATTTCTAAAGGTCCAAAAGGGTGAACCTCTCCCAAATTCATTCTATGAAGCCTCTATCACCGTTATCCTTAAAACAGATAAGGACAGGACAAGGAAGGAAAACTAGAGCCCAATATCCCTGATGAATATATACACAAAGATTCTCAACAAGATACTAGCAAGTCATATTCAACAACTTATAAAAAATATTATACATCATGATCAGGTAGTCTTTATTCCAGGAAAGCAAGGTTGGTTCAACATATGTGAAACCATAAATATAATACACCATATTAACAGGAAAAGGCTAAAAAGCATACGGTCATATCAATTAATGCACAAAAAGCATTTGAAAAGATACAACATTCCTTCATGATCAAGACCCTCAGCAAAATCAGCATAGGATGGTCATTTCTCAACACAATAAAAGCTATCTATGAAAAACCCGTAGTGAACATAATCCTGAATGGAGAAAAGCTGAAAGCTTTTCCACTACAAACGGGTACAAGACAAGGATGGCCACTTTTTCCACTCCTTTTCAATATAGTACTGGAAGTCCTCACCAATGCAATCAGAAAAGTGGAAAAAATAAAAGGCATTCAAATAGGAAAAGAAGAGGTGAAATTCTCTCTATTTGCTGATGACATGATTGTGTACATAGGAGACCCAATGCTTTCAGTGAAAAAATTTCTGGAAGTAATAACTGAGTACAGTAATGTTTCAGGATACAAAATCAATATACAGAAATCTATAGCATTTCTATATACGAACAACAGGCAGACTGAGATAGAACTGAAAAAGTTATTCTATTTACCATAGCCATGAAAAGTATAGGATACTTAGGGATAGAGTTAACCAAAGAATTTAAAACCTCCGCAAGGTAAACTATGAGAAGCTAAAGAAAGAAACTGAAAATGACACAAAAATGTGGAAGGATATCCCATGTTCCTGGATTGGAAGAATTAATATAATCAAAATGGCAATTCTATCCAAATTAATCTACATTTTTAATGCAATGCTAATAAAGTACTAGACACATTCTTCACAGATTGAGAAAAGACGATCATAAAGTTTGTATGGAATCATAAAAGACCTCGTATTACCAGAGCAGTTCTGCACAAGCAGAGTGGAGTGGGTGGCATCTCACTCACTGACCCAAAAATATACTACAAAGCTGTGGTAATCAAAACAGTATTGTACTGGAACAGAAAAAAAAAAAAAAAAAAAAAAATTCGGCCAAATAAACA